TACTGATGTTGCATTCTTGATGCTTCTTCACCGCCGTTGGGCTAAACCAACTTACACTTAAACTAGGTCTTTTTAAGTTGGATACATTTCATTCCACTTTATTTGATTTGTTCTGCCTACATGAATAATGTTCTATTAACTGGCCACGTTGCTTACGCTAATTGCGCTTATCTTCGGTAATTTTGTTGCGTTTGTAGCATTTTTAAGTGACTGGACATTTCTTACTTATCGCAGATTCGTTGCTAACCAGCTTACTTCGTATGGTAATTTAGGGAAGAGTTATGCCACCGTATCTGTATGCATTATTGGATTTATTTTATTTTAGCTTGTCGTTTAAAGTGAATGGCTGTTGCTTGATATCCCCGGTGTAGCTGCGCTTGATGTGCATGTTGACAAGGTGCCTACCTGTCTATTACCCACTACCTCGTCATTACTGGCTCCAGGAGACAGTTGGTCGTTGTTGGAGGGGACGGGTGCACGGTCCTTGTGGTCGTGCTAGACTCAAAGAGCGGTTCCATGCACTCAGTGTGGAGCGCACTACGGTCCAGCCACCGCCTTGTGTGTGCGCTTGATTCCCCAAATACAGCGTGCTTGTGCTTGCCTGTGAAGGAGTGTGGGCCGGCTCCGTTGATGAAACGTGGTTCCCATCCACATGCCTCCCGGTCTTATTCCTTCGGGTTTACACTGGATATGGGGTATGTGGTTGGAGCTGTGGGTGGTGCAGCGCAAGCCACCCATGGTCCCTCTGTAGGCGCAGGCGTCCTGTGGCTGGCCACAGTGACAGGCAAATCCGAAACCGGATGCCGCCAACCATGTATATATACGTTTTACAAAAGTAGTGTTATTTACTCTTAGACAAACTAATGCATAACAACCGTATATGCAGCGAAAGATATCTGATTCCTTTGCACATTTATGTCTACTGGTTATATCTGAAACGGAAATGCATTGTTATAGGATGTTCCGTTTATGTAGAACAGCACGAAGCGTGTAAGCTAGAGCATGTAGAGAAAACCTATTTCAGGCTTCAAATAGCATTGGAGTTCATTGAAACAGTTTTATAGTCTCTTACAACTGAATAATGGTAGCATTTTTGTTACGCAATGTTATATTTCCAAGTTATGCTATTTCTACTTTGACGGACTGATGTATAACAGCTTTATATGTAGAAAAGTCCATCAGGTTCATTTGTCGGTTGATGTCTATTGGAGTGAGTCATGGTTATATCTGAATCGAAAATGCAATGGTATATAATTTTCCATTTATGTTTGGTTGCAAAATGCATGTAAACTAGAACAATTAGAGAAATCGTTTTTTAGAATTTTCATATCAGTGCTAAAGTTCAGTTAGAAACAGTTTTAAAATCACTTGCAGCACTATAATGTTAAAAATTTGTTGTGCTGTGTCATATAGGAACCGCTCTACGTTTCCTTGGAACAAGATGTTGGTACGCAGTTTAATCACACTCGCGAAGCGTGTTCGATCTGCTATTACTTCCATTGATCACCACGCGCCCTCCGGTCCTGATTATGGAATGATATCATTATCTGCTTTGGGGCTAAACCCGGGAGTGCACCACTAGCAGGAAGACCGACAATGTTCCTTACCACCTGCATTGAGTCGGGAGATCTACCGTGCCACACCCACTCGGATCACTTGGTCAGATCAGCCGTGCTTTTCGGGACACACGTGATGACTAACGTTTCTACTTGTGAATAGTTCTGATTGCACTTCTTATATCTGCTACTTCTGTTCACAAGAGCGTTTTGTCTAGTCATAATGAATTTCAACCTGCGTGGAACGTATTTTGTGGTAAACACCACTAGAATTATTCCGCCAGCGGGTGATATTGCTCATAGACGTAGTCTGTCTCACATCCGACAAACCTTACGGTATGTCGGAAAAACGTGGGTCATGTTCAGGTTATCGGTAAGCCCTTTCCATTGGTTCCCACTGTGCTTGCATTGCTGGGTCCGGAACTACAATTCGTAACAGGCCATAAATGTGCAGCGGTACCGGATGCTTTTTGCAGGAAAGTCAAGCAATCACATGTACTCTTCTGTCTCCTTTATTTCACTTTGTTTGTTCTGCAGGCTGTTCTGTATGGCATGTGCGCCACTCTGCCAGATCGCTCAATTGTCTCCGAAGTTGCCAAAGGATTTTTGGACGCTTGTTACAGCACTCCTGACGTAGTGGAATACAGTTAGCCAAAAATATTGATTTCCCCCCGCTACCATAGTCACTCACAGACCAGTTTGCCTGCTGCTACCTTTATGCCCTTGTTATTTCCGTGTTTTCCATCCTATCGTCGTTTTAGATTTGCTCAATATTCTTGTCACGTGTATTGTTGATCAGCTAACTTTATAGCGTCTTTCCTATTAACTTCTTTTTCGTTTTAGTCTACACTGACTTCTGTGCACGTAACAACATGAATTCCTGTTATCTTGATCTTGTTTGTCGCCTCCTCCGCCAATCCCCACCTTACCACGATGGGCAGAATGCACTTAGACCCCTCCGTGCTTACCCTGGTTTGTCATTGCACATCCGATACTGTACATATCCACATTGGGTGATTATTCGCCGGTACCACAAGTACTCCGATTCTTGGTTTCTGCGTCACCAAACGTGCTCGGAATGCTATGTCAAATACCCGTTGGTGAACACAAGGTTATCGTATTCTCTGCTTAGGTATCCCTCGGGTGCAGCACAAATTGACCCCAGAAGAATGTATGGTGAACACGTAAGAGTGATTAAAGGTCACCGGAGCGAGAAGATCTGCGCAGTAAGGATAAGGAGTAATATCGTTCGACGGAATCGATGCTTCGGAACTTATCGTTACGAACGGACTCCACAGCGTGATGATGCACATCAGTGTTATGAGGCACTTGGCCCATGGCTTCAAGACCACATCCTGTGAAAACTATGCTAAAATTAGGGGGGATATGATGGTTTCTTTTAGGTCGGCGATCAGAACTGAAGCGAGGCCATCGGACAAAAGACGAATCAAGTGCTGTTCTCGCAGGCTGACAACATTTACCCACGTCGCATGAGCAGAACAGATTTGGTACGGCCTGGCATGAAGAAAGCTCACTGTGATCCTATACGAAACAGTTACGGAATAGACGGAGTTTCTTTGAGTACGAGCCAATGTCCTTAGGCGGACGGCATAATTCTCACAGCAAGAACTAGCCAGCCAAATGAACCAAAATAAGTAACGACCGAAACTTATGTACGGTCTAAACCACTATTATGCCTATGGATAAAGAGTTCTTGACCAGTGTCAGACTTCGTTGCGAATCTCAGAGAGTTACTCGAAAGTGGTATCCGCAGTAACCTGTTTTCGCTTATTCACCCAGCTCTAGCAGATAATGCGATCCTTTTCAAACTTGTTGCGGCTGATACAGGAAGAAGTTGCAGTTTTGAGATAGGTCGTGGTTGCTTCTGAGCTCGGATGCTAGCGGGACGCTAAAACCTAGGTATTTAAATAATTAGGCTTCTTGTCTGAATCCTTTGACTCAAAACTTTGGACACAAGGTAACGGTAATAAAGTTGTTTTCATCCGGTTCCAAACCCAACCCAACATTTAGTTGAAGTGCTTTCAAATAATCTGCTAAGTGTTGCGCTCTAAATTTTCACTGGGTACCACGCAGCGTAGCTCAATCGATTTTAGAGGTACGCAACCCAGTGTCAACAGCCAGCCTCATCTGATAATACAATTTTTGATAGCTGCGCTCACTCTTGATACACAAATGTGCAACTTCGAACTTATACGCAAGTCCGCTAACAGTGTGCTTCCCAAAATCGTAGCTTCAAATTCCTTAACAACCTTTCTTCCTCAAACCGCGTTAGCAGAGTTCATCGACTCCGTTCTCGACAATGGCTGCAAGAAGCGTACTGTCTTGGCTGTCTTGATAGTGACTCCGAACTTGATCACTGTCGAATTGCCTTCTGTCGTCGTACTTTATAGATCTCTGTTATCGTTATGAACAATAACACCAAGACGGGTGTATCATAAGCTAACTTTCTCCCCCTGAGACGATGAATTTTCATTACCCCTTCATTTACGGGGTGCCCATGAGGGAAATTGGTTTGGCATGTATTAACTGCGAAGCAATATGAAATGTACTAAAATGGTATTGGCAATGACACATAAAACATGAACATCACCCCCTTACCTTTCTCCGATATCTGCATCTAAATGTGCGTGCCACTATATGAAAATTCAGTCTGACGAATAAACCCATGGTTCGAGGAACCGGACGCTTTGATCAGCTCGACGAACAGAGAGTACAGCGGCTGCTTTCGTTCGCCCCATTTCCCTTACATATAGTGCGATGTAAACACCGCGTTGTTTGAGCTACCTGTCGAAGGAAATCTGCGTCAATCCTCTATGACACTGAGTTCTGACGTTTAAGTGGCGCAGAAATCGAACAGAATCCAAGCCAATATCTTTCTGGCACAACCTGATATGTTGTTGTCCCTATAATTGGTACCAAATCACGTGATTTCCTTGTATTACGAGGAATTCATGTCCCAAAATAATCGCGCATGCGAAACTACGTAGGGCTCAGACACTCGCATTCATTCCAGTGCACATTTTCCCCACTTTGTCCGACAGGTTTCCGAGGACACAAACATTCACGCTTCTGAACCATTCCGCGGCGTTGTGCCAATTCATTTGTTTACACCTCCCTGGGTAAACTCTTATCGTTCTGTGTGATAAATCACACTACACAAATCTCGGTATAAAGTTAGGCTGCTCAACGCTGTATTCGCTCTTTGCTGGCCCAGTAAAAGCACCTGCTGTGAAGAGCTTGTTTTTCTTCTTTCTTGGGGTCGTGTAGAAACATGTGTGTGGTCCGTGTTCGCCCCAGTCACTAGTTTCAGTGCGCGTGAGGACAAGGTTTGGCGAGCACGTCTCGGTGCGTACGAATCGAATTCTTCGGGCTATTTTTTCGTGGGCGTATCCAATTCACTAGTCCTTCGTTTCGACTAGGAGAGTTGTTATAACCAAACCGTTTTAACACTATTACCTTTGCAGAGTTGTGGTGCATAGGGATTATTCACTTTATGAAACACTTACTCTCCCATCCACACACTTTCCTCAATGCAGCGGTTAGCATAAGCCACTGCTTTTTTGCGCTTCCTGCTGCACTTCGCTTATTTGTGATGTTTCGGCAAATTCATTTTTCTCGTTATGTTGCTGCTGCCCGTGTGTTCAGACCTCATATGCTGCGTCTGTTGTATATCTTCTGACTTTGTACAAGTAGTGCCTGATACAGGATCCACTAGGTTCATCATTGGCTGGAAGATGGAACCGTACTCCACCCTCATGGCTTCACAGAACGTCTAGCATGTCATTCCACTAGTTTCCTCGTTCTCCGCCCACCATGCATTGTTGATGAGACTGCGCTTCACGGCTAGTTATTGCTACCCTCTGACATACCCTCCCTTCCACGGCAAAGCGCCAGAACTCGCGCTGTTTTTATGGTAACAAGCGGCGTAGTTTTTAAGCCCGGATGTTGCCACGAGGCGATGATTGAAACAGAGTACCCGACCTCACTAAGGTGTGCCGTCACTAGGTGCTACAACACATTCACTTCCCAACAGTAACGGGTGAAATATATCTGTTTTCACCGATTTGCAGCAGTACTTAGTGTTATTTAATGTGTTAGTGATCATCTAGACATGGATAGCCCATAGTGGAACAATACGTTAGCCGTTTCCATTGGATAAGTTTGATACTGATTACCATGGCACCCAGTGTGGTACTCCGCGTTGGATGTCTCGCTTTGGTCCTATGCGATAGTGAACCCGTGATCCAACACTTAACTTTTTGTCGTTTCCGCTTGGACATGGAAACTCCACAGGATAGCTGATGTTTCCATGGAGTTGGTACGCAATGGGGAACAGGGGTGATAGGACAGATGGACCAAAATTACATTGGAGGAAGTTGATGGGGAGGGACAGTTAATTGAGTCATCAGCAGCAGTTATCTTTCGTTGTGTTGTCCATCTTTGTTTACAGTTCTACCTCAAGCCACCTACATTTGAAGTAAAAAATAACCCATTCCTCAGAAAAGCTATCGATAAATTGTGCCACTGAAAGTTGTCTGGCAATGCACCATGACGCACGCGGTTGTGTCCCGGCTAGTAGGCTGAAGAAGGACTCGGTCCAATTCTCACCAATTTGCTGCCAAGAATAGGTATGCAGAGTTTGAGTCAACGGCTAAAGGGACTGCGTAAGCAATTACTTCCCTTAATCAGAGCAACATTATTTGGTAAGGCTACGGTGCAATTATAAATGAACAGATGTAATAGAACCTGAAAAGCTTGCCATCGCCGTGATCACTGCAGTTGTCCGACTTGAGCACGTTCAGCCCCTCTTCGATCAAGCGGTGAAATGCTTACCTAACTTGGTGTTCGTTAGGTGGAATGCGGTGGGTGGATTGGTCTTCTGGATTGTATCCACTGGAGCACTAAACCAATCAGATCTCTCAAATTTGTGCAACGAAACTAAGTGGAGCACATGGATATTGGGTGTTGTGCGTAGAGGATGGAGTCGAACGGTGGGCGAAGCCGTCCATCAATGGGCTATGCGCGATCCCTGTGTCAGATTTGGCACATTAGTTGTGTTCAAGAGAACTGGTCAACTGCCATATGTGAGATGATCTAACAAACCAAGGCACAAGTGAGTTGTAAGGGATCAAGATGGTACAAGTTGAATTCGACACAACTAAGCCCATCTAGAGACCGCCCTGACGCATCCGAGAAGGCGTTACATATCCGTTCCATTGTCATCATGACACATTTCATCTAGCCCGTATTTTGCCTTGGATCCGCGTCCCTACCCTTACGATACAATTGTCTTAACCGCTTGGCAAAGGGAAATGTTAACGACTAACTTGACTCTGTAAACTTATGTGAAGAGTGGGAGTGGAGGGTCAGCCTCGCTTCATCGAAGTGTACAGTTTTTGACGCCGCTTGCGATGTTCTACCTAACAACGTCCATTAAAATCCAAATGACTACAATTGGTGGCTCTAAGTTGAAGGTACATTCATCTTGTGATCTGAACAGGACGACTGAAAGCCACCCAGGTACCCGCAACCTCAATGGAACTCGTTTGTCACAATCCAATCGCGAGTAAGACGATTGCATCAAAACGCACTCAGTAAAGAGTGCAATCATGTAGGCTAACATAAGATCTAGATATGCTATATTATTCCTTGAATCGTGGATCTTTTTGGGCGCTCCCTGAGGTAGATTGAAATTGCAAACACTTGCTGTGGTACTGACTAATCGTCAGTAAAGTATTTAACATTTTGTGTAGGGTTTTGGGATGCTGTAGAGAGAACGCAGCAGCTTCAACACTTACCGATTATCAAATTGACAACTGCAAGCATTGCCTGTTCCTAATTAGCATCACATGCTGCATAGTGAGCCAGAAACATTATCTGGTGATCCCGTATCCTCAATACGAAACAGATTTCTTTGTACAACCTACAATCATTTTGGGACAGTTTTCCTAATACGTCCTCTGTATCCTCCCCATTGCTCTACT